ATATATATATATATATATATATATATATATATATATATATACATACATACACACATGTGTGTGTGTGTGTGTGTGTGTGCATACACATTTTTTTGGATGATTTATGTTGCTTCGTTCATGGAAGTCTAGCATGAATATTTCTTTATTCATGGATTTATAAGTTCCCATTCATGAGTCTGCACTATGCAAATAAACGTGAATATTTCATTATCCATGAACCTGTAGCACATAAGCGTTATTTTATTTATTCATGAATTTATACATATTCATGAGTATACCCCTTATCTAATCAAGCGTGAATTCATGTTTTGTGAGTCATGAGTTGATGCCTTTATATTCCTGAGTTTATACAGCTTAATCAATTCAGTCGTTTTTATTCAAAGGGCTCAGATTCCTTATTCCAGAGTTTATCATTAGTAGTTCCTGAATTTATACCTCTCCGTTCGAGTTTATGCTTCTATAGTCATGAATCCATATTGTTTCATCAAAAATATATTTTTGCTGTTATTCGTGAATTTATTTCTTATTCAACTTTTTTCATTTTTTCATTTTATTTTCTTTACTTGATGGCTTTATAGTTCTTCTTTTAAGGAATTACTATATATATTTTATTTCAAGGTGGTAATATTCAATTCATCAAATCTGAACCTTGATAATTTTAGAAGAGATATATGCTGCTAAAATAATATATATAAACCAAATTGTTTCATTATGTATTTGAATCCATAGCATAAATGCACATTGAAAATGAAAAATCTCACATCTTTAAAATATTTGTTTTTGAATATATATAAACAGACAGACAGATAGATCAATAGATATTTGCATCTCAGAACAGATAGGTTCTGATGAATTTATTCTTATCCATTTCCATGTGTAATTCATATATATATGTACGTCTGTATGCATGTATGTATGGACGAACATAAATCCGTCCTAGTATGTTTACACCTTTGTCACTATACATACATGCATCCGTACATCTATGTATATCGACACCCATGTACTTCCTCATGCATTTGCAAATATTTACTACCAACAGACAGTAATTCCTAATTCCCTTTACAGATTCAAAACTATCGGCTACGACCAGTACCGGGACAACTGTGAACTGAGTAGCGAAGGAGCAGGAAACCGCTACAATTTCTTGACTGATGAAGACTTCGATTTTTACGAGAAGTCAAGAAACTGCAGGTAAGGTCCTTCTCGGTGGTTTGATTAAGGTGTAAGAGGTGGTGGTTGCGGTGATGGTGGTTGCGGTGATGGTGGTGGTTGTGATGGTGGTGGTGGTTGTGATGGTGGTGGTGATGATGGTGGTGGTTGTGATGGTGGTGGTAGTGATGGTGGTTGCGGTGATGGTGGTGGTTGTGATGGTGGTGGTGATGATGGTGGTGGTTGTGATGGTGGTGGTAGTGATGGTGGTTGCGGTGATGGTGGTGGTGGTGATGGTGGTGGTTGTGATGGTGGTGGTGATGATGGTGGTGGTTGTGATGGTGATGGTTGTGATGGTGGTGGTGATGATGGTGGTGGTTGTGATGGTGGTGGTTGTGATGGTGGTGGTGGTGATGGTGGTGGTTGTGATGGTGGTTGCGGTGATGGTGGTTGCGGTGATGGTGGTTGCGGTGATGGTGGTGGTGGTGATGGTGGTTGCGGTGATGGTGGTTGCGGTGATGGTGGTGATGGTGGTGCGGTGATGGTGGTGTTGTGATGGTGGTGGTGGTGATGTGGTGGTGGTGATGGTGATGGTTGTGATGGTGGTGATGATGGTTACGATGATGGTGATGGTTGTGATGGTGGTGGTTGTGTGGTGGTGGTGGTGGTTGTGATTGGTGGTGGTTGTGATGTGGTGGTGGTGATGGTGGTGATGGTGGTGTGGTGATGGTGGTTATGGTGGTGGTGGTGATGGTTATGGTGGTGGTGGTGGTGATGGTGGTTGCGGTGATGGTGGTGGTGACGGTGGTTGCAGTGATGGTGGTGGTGTGGTGGTGATGGTGGTTGCAGTGATGGTGGTGGTGATGGTGGTTGCGGTGATGGTGGTGATGGTGATGGTGGTTGCAGTGATGGTGGTGGTGATGGTGGTTGCGGTGATGGTGGTTGCGGTGATGGTGGTGGTGATGGTGGTGTGATGGTGGTGGTGGTGATGGTGGTGGTTGTGATGGTGGTGGTGGTTGTGATGGTGGTGGTGATGGTGGTGGTGACGGTGGTTGCAGTGATGGTGGTGGTTGTGATGGTGGTGGTGATGGTTATGGTGGTGAGGGTGATGGTGGTTGCGGTGATGGTGGTGATGGTTATGGTGGTGGTAGTGAAGGTGGTTGTGGTACAGTTAGTGATGATGGTTATGGTGGTGATGGTGATGGTTGCGGTGATGGTGGTGGTGTTGATGTTGGTGATAGTAGTGGCGGTGATGATGGTTATGGTGGTGATGATGGTTACGATGATGGTGATGGTTGCGGTAATGGTGGTGGTTGTTGTGATAATAGTGGTGGTGATAGTGGTGGTG